TAGATTCCAGAACTCGGAGGGAACTGGTTTAGTTTGTGACAGTGCAGTGATGCCAGAGTTCTTCAGGGGCGCTAAACCTGGAAGGTACATGTCAAACACTGCTTATGGTTAAGTTATTGTTACTCAAAAAACACAGAATTTTTTAACTTAATTTCTTTTTAATTAAACATGCTTCATTTTACAGCAAATAATAAAAGTGTTAAAAATAATAGAAATTTTATAGTAGGACCCTTAAATATATAAAAAAAGAAATGATGCTGATCAATCATATACATAGATGACAAGGTAGGACTTGAAAGAGACAGCGAATCATCATCAAAGGGCATGTTTCTCTCTCTTCTACATCACTTCTCCATCATTATTTCCTTCCTCTTAAATATTACAGCTGTAGAATACTAGCCTACACCAGGCTGAGATTTTCATCTCAATTATAACATCATGAGAAGTATTTTCAATAAGTAACATCCTAGGAAATACCTATTTGTCGGGACCTTTTTAATGATTGATCAAGGATTTTCTGTTTGAGAATCAATCCCATGTGTCTTAGAGGTTTAAACCCGTCCTGTGATCCACAGCTAATGGCAAAATTAACTTGAATTGAGCCACAACACAAACAATGACTGTATTGATGAGTGAATGGATATCTTAACCTTTTACTGCTAATAGTAAACTTGGGTATTGCCCCAGTGCCCTAGGGGGTAATTACAGATCGATGTTACGGTTCCAGTTAAAACAGTCACCTATTAAGTGGCAGCTGAGGAATCGAAGTGACCTGTCTCTGTTACTTTGTTGCTCCCTGAAGCAAGATCCCACTGAACCTGACACAGCATTCCAGAAAGCAATCCCTAAGGAGGCTCTCTGAGCCCTGCTACTGTCAACCAGAGCTGTTTGTTGGGGAACAAGTACAGTAGGAAGATGCTAATAACAGGTAAATTAAACCTCATGGGTGGAAGAAGCAGAAAGGTAAGGTAGAATGAAAGCAGCTCAGCAGAATGCCTCAGGATATGTTATAATTGATACCAGCTGCATAAACGGGAATCATTAAAACATGCAGTATTTCACATGACATTATTTTTATTCTACTTTATCTTAATGAAAAAGTTGGAATGCATTTATTTTGTGCTTTACAAAAAGAAACTGGCACTCATTTCTCATTTCTTTTTTTTTTTTTATATATTCCTTCACAGACTGCTCTAAAGACGTGTACATACACACTAGTTTGGTTTATCATAGAGAAATACAGCCAGTTTGCACAGTTACAACTAAAGGAAGTATTCTAACATCTCATGAAACCTAATTGCTTTAAAGTATTTAAACCTCTGTCTTCTCCACCTCTGAGACCTTAATCA